GAACAAGACCACGAAGCAATGCCTCGTATGCGAGGTGAACAACAAGATGTTCCATGACGTCAAAAAATGCTGGAGGCATAATTTTCTCTAAGTTGCACAATATGATCGGAATGTTCTCATGAAGTTGATCGATAACTTCTTCCTTGAATGTACGTGTGCTTAGGTCTCTGAAGAATGCTCCAATGACTGCAAATTGTATATATAATATTAACATTTCATAATATATGTATATATATTATTAACTAATCAACAATATTTACCTGCAAGTGCTTCATGTACCTTTGCTGGAAGAAACTCAGCAAAAGCGAATGGAAGTAGTCGTTGCATAAATACATGACAGTCATGACTCTTCATTCCTGAGAACTTTTTACCTTGTTCAACACATCTTGAGAGATTAGAGACATATCCATCAGGAAACTTAACTTCTGATTGAACCCAGTTAAACAAAGTCGTCTTCGCTTCTGATGACAATCGGAAGATAGGAACTGGAATGTTTCCATTGCTTTTGATATGTAACTCACTTCTTGAGCAAATATCAGGTAAGTCCATCCTTGACTTTTTGCTATCTTTTGTATTTCCTGGGACATTCAGTATCGTATTCTTGATGTTGTCAAAGAAGTTCTTCTCTATATGCATAACATCGAGGTTGTGGCGTAAAAGAAGATCCTTCCAATAAGGCAGCTGCCAAAATATACTCTTCTTATGCCAATTGTGTCTGACCCCATATCCATCAGGCAAATTTCCAGGAACATGCCAGTTTCCTCCACGGGGAACAGTTTCCTAAGCTCCGTAGTAATCAATTTGCGCTAGGATCTGTTCTCCAATGAGATATGGAGGAGGACTATCCCTTACAACTTTTTTGTACCTAAACAATGTCTTATTTCTTCGGTAGGGATGGGTAAGGGGAAGAATTCTACGATGACAATCAAACCAACAACTCTTCCTACCATTCTTCAATTGAAAAGCATCTGTTGATCCAAGACAATGTGGACAAGATAACCTTCCATGTGTAGTCCAACCAGAAAGCATACCATAAGCAGGAAAATCACTTATTGTCCAAAGCAGTACTGCTCGCAACGTAAAATTATTTTTCAAGGAACAATCATACGTCCTGACCCCTTCTAACCACAAGTCCTTCAGCTCTTGTATCAATGGTTGAAGAAAAACATCTAGGGACCGCTTTGGATGCTTTGGACCAGGGATTAATATGGTCAAGAATAGAAATTCTTGTTCCATACACATCTCCGGAGGCAGGTTGTACGGCGTAAGAATGACTGGCCACAAAGAGTATTGTTTCCCAGACATTCCAAATGGACTAAATCTGTCTGTGCATAATCCAAGATAGACATTTCTAATATTTCTTGCGAAATCTGGATGTACGTTGTTAAAATGTTTCCAAGCTCTTGCATCTGATGGATGAGCAATCTCGCCATCCCGCTGGACATGTTCAGCATGCCACCTCATTGCTGCTGCAGTCCTCTCAGATTGATATAATCTTTTCAGCCTATCTTTGATTGGTAAGTACCACATTCTTTGGTACGGAACCCTATTCCTTCCATGTCCTTGCGGTTTGAATCGTGGCTTCTTGCAGAATCGACACTCTTCTAGCTTCTCATCATCTCTCCAGTAGATCATGCAGTTGTCGATGCAAACATCTATCATCTCCGATGGCAACCCAAGACTATAAACCAATTTCTGAATCTCGTAATAAGATTCAGCTGACACGTTGTCTTCTGGCAAATATTCTTTAAACAACTCCGCCCATGCATTCATACAATTCTCAGGTAAATTATGATTCGTTTTAATATTCATCATCCTAGCTGCTAGAGGCAGTTTAGAGTGACCTTCTCTACAACCAGTGTAGATTGGTTGATTTGCAGCATCTAGCATTTCATAAAACCTTTTTGCATCCAAATTAGGTTCTTCAACATGAACAGTTCCATCTGCTATTGTTGTAGTGGTTTCTAAAAATGCATCAGTAATCATGTCGTGAACCCTATCATGATCTACCATCTGTTCAACACCTTGATTATTACTGACATTCCGAAAATTACTATTACTACTACTAGCTTCATTTCCTCCATAACCCTCCCCATGTTGAAACCAAATATAATACTGTGGTAGAAAACCTCTGTGTACTAAATGTTTCCAGACAGTTTCCGTACGAGCAAATTTTGAATTCTTGCATTTATGACAAGGACAGAACATCTTACCACTTTCCTGCGTGAGCGGTGTACATGCTGCCTGGTTCATGAACGTCTCAAGCCCGCTAAGAAATTCATTCGTCACTCTACCGTCGGAATCTTTATGCATATACATCCAACTCCGCAATTCGAAAATATTTCTTCCATCCGACATTTTTTTGATTTCTTTTTGTGTGGTGGTATGAATTGAGAAATGAGAAATGCTCATATATATAGCAAACCCACGAAAATTGGTAGGTGAAAATTTACAACGTATTTACAAGGAACATATTTACATGGATATTACATGTCTCTAACATATAGGTTACAACCTGTTTACAACGGCATCAGTTACACATTAAAGTCGTGTTCACCTACCAGTATTCGTCGTAAAGCCATAGTAAATTTACGACGAATTTACAACGAAAGTTAAAAAAAAATTTGGATAAAATTTTTTCTTCATTACTTAAACAAACCTAAAATGCGTGGACAGTTACCAGAACAGTTCTCATCAACTTCTCGTATCTATTTATCGACTTCTCGAAAAAAAGTTACCAGGAGTTGATTAGAACTGTTCTGGTGACTGTTCACGCATTATAATTTCTTCAAAAATCGATACATAAGTTATCGATTTTTTTTTTCTACGAAATTTTTTTCTTTCTACGAATTTTTTTGTTTTTGTTTGTGGTGTTCTTAGGAGTGAGTATGAATGACATATATATAGAAAATTTCCGTGTTTGGTTGGTAAAGATTTAACAACGAATTTACATGGAACCCTTTTACTACGATTTTACAAGGCATTTGTACATGCTTTACAACCATGTTACAACGAAAGTAGTTACTTAAGAACACGTTTTTGTTTACTTTTAACGGTTAAACATTACTCGTAATGTACTTGTAACTTTACTTCGTCTTTACAACGAATCTTTCTTTGCCTAGTACCTTCGTCGTAAATTTACTTGTCGTTTACGACGAAGGCATTTTCTTGTAACGTAACTAGTTCATTACGACGAATATGAATTTCGTCGTAAACGACTTGTAACGTACTCGTACCATTATGAGGAAGGAAATTCCTCGTAATTCTTCCTCGTTAAAGGCGTATTTTCTTGTAGTGTTTGTGGTTTTGACTATGTTAGGCATGGTTATTTTTTTCTTTTCAAGTAACCTTTGTTTATGAAAAAAAAAAACCAAAGAAAATATAACTAACTTAAGATTTACTATAAAGGAACTATTATGAAATAAATATGAAAATAATAAAATAAAACGACTTGATAAACACGAATAGGGAGAATATTGCGGGATCGAATGTGAATATGTAACAAAACCTGAAAACTACAATAGTCAATCTGAAAATTCAGCGACTGAGAAACAAAAACAAAAGAACCCTATAATGGCCAACAAGGAGAAGCTTCCATGGGACTTGGTGGAACATATCCTCTCACGTGTCCCTCCTAAACCACTTGTCCGATTCAGAACCGTTTGCAAGCGATGGAACACTCTCTTTGGCGACAAGACTTTCATCAACAACCACAAGATGACGTTTCAATTTATTTTAGTAACTAAATCCAAGATTTATTCGGTAAGCCTCAATCCGGAGATAGAGGTGCGCGAGTTACCCTTAGATATCCCCGGTTTAAAACATCAGATACCTGATGACTTGGTCGATTGCAATGGCCTCTTGCTATGTGGCATGGATAAAGGAGCCGAAATTTTTAACCCATGGTTAGGAAAGACCAGATGCATCCAGGCTGGATCTAACCAACCGAGACTGAATTTTCTTGGCATAGGTTATGATAAAGATAGGAGAGCTGACAAATTTGTTTATAAGACCCTTGCGTATTATCTGAAGGATGCAGGTACCTATGGGTGGAAAATCCATGACTTTGCCACATGTGCGTGGGAAGACCTAGGGCCCGAAGAAGCAAAACAAGGAACACCGCGTAGACGTCGTAGTCTTGCTTTACACTCGAGACAAGAGGTGTGTCATTGAATGGATCTTTGTATTGGATTGCTTATTACAGGACTCATCCTAAGTTTGTCCTATATAGCTTCAGTTCCTCGATAATTTGTGATCTACCATGTGGGAATAGCGCTCTTAAAGATGCTCTTGTCCTTAGCGTTTCTAAAGGAGTTCGGTTTTCGTTGTTAAAGCAGTGCCATGTAACCAAAAAAATTAATATTTGGGTGACCAAGAACAATATTGCAAGCCGGTGCCATAAGAAAGTGAAATGGGAGAATTTCATGGAAGTTTCAATCCCTAACTTGCCTGATTTAGTACAAACCAAATGCTACCCTCAGCCAAGTTACTTCATTGACGATAAAAGGAACGAAAAAAGCTCGTCGTGCGTTCTTGCGATGTAAATGGCCGGCCTTGGATCTATGTTGTTTCTGAAAGTAAGTTGATCAGTAAAACCCGATTGGATTCTGTGGCTGATCCTTGGCCTTTGCATTGTGCCTGTTTCCCCAGCTTAGTCTCTGGACCTCTAATAGAAGACGAAGGTGCATTGCAACGACAAAATATTTTCCCTTTATTTTGGCTTTTTGTTTGGTTGTTTGGGAAGCTAAAGTCATTTTTCGCGAGATAATTTATTTTTAGTTTTTTTTTTTGTAACACATTCTTCATTCATAACTTAAACGATTACATGGACAAAGACAACATTGAACATACAATGTCTGGTCCTTTTGGAAATTTCAAGTACAAAGCAAGATAAAGATAGAGACACAAACTTACACAAGTTTGATAGAGTGTCGAAATTTAATTCAAAGGAGCCACTCGCAAATAATCTCATGCAGAAAGTACTGCGTCCTTCAAAATTTTCAGACTTGGGAATAGTCACCGTATATCGTGACGTTAAACGCTCCACAACCTCGAGTCTCACCGGGATGAGTCTCGTCATATCTTCCGGTCCCAAACGAACCATTACACAAGATAAGAAGCAGTTAGGAAAACGAGAATACTCATTGGCTTTGACACCAAGAGAAAAGTACCTCTCAAAAGGAGGAGTTTTGATGGAAAGATTCACTCCTACAAAGAGGAGGATGGGAGAAAACGCTCTCTCATGGCCCCGGCATGAGGAAATTTGGCTAGCCATTATTGTAAAAAGGGCTGAGGGACTGCAATCTTGAATCTTCAATAGACTTTGATTAATTCCAGAGATTGCACCAGGAACCCAACTAACATAAGATGGATGTGCAGATTTTGGCAGTGGATAGCACATGTCTACGCCAGTGACGAGAAACCATGGATGAAACGGTTCAGAAATTTTCCCCTACATACCGACGGAACGAGATATTAGCTTCACGATAGATTCCAAGGGAGCAAGCAATGAGTTCAGGCAGACACTTCCACGTCTAGCATTACCGTGCCGGAACCAGGAAGATTTGACTAAAACAAAGTTGAGCCACTGGTCAGCGATGTCCAAAAAGCGTAGCAAAAGTGAGCCTTCGTCGGTATGTGCTACTGCAAATGGTGTTCTCGGTGAGAGTCCAAGGCCTTCGAGGCTCACAGATCTGGCTTGCAGTGAGCAAGAGGGGTCAGTATGATTGGCGAGGCAGGTCTGAGAAGGGTCTTTCAGGGAACTTCCGGCGAAAAGTTCAGAGGAACAGTAAGAAACAGCCGGCGGTTCTACAGGAGCGGAGGGGGACATGGGTGAGCTTAGCCAATTTCTCCAAGGAGATACAGCTTCAAACCTTGCCATTAACAGTTGAGAACAAGCTCCTGGGTAAAATTCTTCGGGGCTTTCACCCGAGACGCGGTTAACACTCACAACAGGAGGGGAGATTGGAGTTGCAGAACAGAGAAGAATAAGCCATGTGGATAAGGAAACAGCTAGCACCGGTTTCATCTGGCGTTGTATCCTTCTTCTTCGCAAATTCAGAGATCTCCAAACACCAAAAGACAAGAGCTTTAAAAATGGACAGTAGAGAGATAAAAGGTTTGAAACGAACAGAGAGAGGAAGAAACAGAGGAGATGAACAAGAGGATCCCGGCGCCGGCTAGATCTGGCTTCACCGGCGCCGAAAATAAGAAACACAAAAACTGTCTCGATAATCGTGTCTGTAAGCGTTAGGGCGAACTTACTGTCTCGATAATCGTGTCTGTTGATTGAATGATGAATGGATTCACTAAGTTTAAGTCTAGTGGCCATGAGTTCAATTTGGTAACAGAAGAATTTGCTAGCTTTCACTTGTTGGATTATTGAGCTTTTGCGATAGTTTTTAAATGGTTTTGTTGAAGTAGATCTTGCATAGAAGTAGGTATCATAACCCAACAAGAAGAAGCAGAAAAGGAAATGTCAGCACAAAGGAATAATTATGAACTTGGACTAAATAGGTGGAGTTTTGTGAATAATTATGAACTTGGACTAAATAGGTGGAGTTTTGTGAGGCCTGGTCAATTCATATGTTGATTTCCTTGCTAAAGGCAAACAAGAAGCGTAATGGAAGCACATCATTGCCAAAGTGACTGACCCCTCTTCCCGCTAGACATATTTCGAGGATTATCTTCAACCACCACAATGCTGTAAATTTGTTTATAAACCTAAACTAGGTGTTTTATTCGCCTGTACGGATATAATAATTTTACAGATATTTTAAAGTAAATACATATATCAGTTTTAGTATAATTAAAATATTACTATTCCTACCTTTAAAATATTTAATAAAAACTAAATAATATTTTTTTCATATATACAATGTTCTTATAGTAACATATAACTTTTATCTTGTAACATAAACTTATGAAATTCATGCTTTTGAAATATTTAATAATAATTTTTTTACATATGACAAAGTTTTTCAATGTAATAAAATTATCTCTTATTGCGTAAAATGAACTTGAAAACATTAATATCTTTTATAATTAAAAACTTTTGAGGAATTTGCCAAATATAACTCAAAACATGATTTTAAATGCAAAACTATATTCAAATTTTAATCAAATGAAAAACTAACCTATAAGCCTTGTGAAATTACAGTCATCCGCTTGTGACCAAACAAAAAAAATTCATTTTTACGAATAGAGCTCTAGAAAGTCATCTGAGTCTTCCGAGATACTATAAATTGTCTAGATAACTTACACAGAAGTCTTCTGGTATAGTTAATCTTAAAAATAATTTTTTTTTTTTGAAAAATATGTTGACAAGTCAAAAATTGAAATCATGTAATTATAAACAGTTTTAAGTGATATAAATTAAGATATAATAAAATTGAATAGTTTTCAACATAGATGAGTGAAAGTAGTTAAAATTGGAAACATATGTTGCTGTATTGTATGTATTCTTAGGATTAGATTTTGGAAAGGTAAAATGTTTTTTTGAAAATTTAATTTTTTACATATATGTGTTTATTTCAGTGTATAGTAAACACTTTTTAAGTTTAATTTGATTTTATGAAGTATTTAGTTAGTTAATTTAGTTTAGGGGTTATATTCAGGTTCTAGACGACTAATAGGTAAGTCGCCTGGCGATTAGAAAACTTTTCTGAAAGTCTTCTAACTTTCGCTAAAATATTTTAGTTTCCCACTAAAAATATTTAAATTTTCTATTAGAAGACTTACTTGAAAGTCTTTTGTATCGGAATATAATTAGTCTTATTAGAATTTTTTCTCCTTATATATAAACAATTTACACATGTTCTCTACTCCTCTCAAATAACTGCAACAAAAATGTAATGTTTCTCATTCTAAAACTCTCCAACCCCTCTGTAATATCTTTAAACTTGTAAACACAAAATTTTATATCAATTTATTATTTTTGCCCAATGTCTTTCTCAATAACTTATCTTATTTTAGCAAGTTTTTCATCACATGGTTCTCATCTTCCACTCATTAAAGGTAGATATATTAATTTTAGATATATATATTTTTGTGTGTTCTACAAAGGTAGATCTATCTAATCTTCCACTCATTTTCTCTATTTTTAAGCCATTTGAACATTTTTGGATATGTAGGTTTTTCAGTTTTGGATTTGGATATAAAGGTTTTTCAGATCAGGATCAGACTATAGAAGACTTCTCGAAAGTCTTCTAAAATAAAATGCGCTAGAAGACGTCCAGGACTCAAAGTCATCTGGAAGACTTCGTAAAAGTCTTCTGACGAAGTCTTCTCCCATATCTCTCTTTCATAACAGATTTGAGCGTTTTGGTATGTTTTTATAATCTATTTTTCTTCATTTGGTAACCTCATGTTGCATAACGTTCTTACCTTTTTCCAAAACTAAAACTCTCCAAACCCACTATAATCTTTTTGACTTGAAAACACCAACCTTTATATGAATTTTTCATTTTTGTCTCATGTCTTTCTCACTAATCTATTTTTGTTGCAGGTTTTTAATATATGGTTCTCATCTTTCACTTAGATATGTACGTTGTGTGTCTTATAAAAGTATATCTATATAATCTTCCACTCATTTTCTCTGTTTTTAAGTCATATAAACATTTTTTGATATGCATGTTTTCAGATATGGGTTTGATATACATGTTTTCAGATATGGATCAGACTTTGGAAGACTTATGGGAAGTCTTCTCGGACGTATTCTTCGGAGAGAAGAATCTCAAGAAAACTAAGAGAGAAGAATTCTCAAGAAAACTTAGTCAAATTCACAAAAGATAAAACCTTACATAAGTTCATAGATAGAACACTTTCATTAGAAGTCTTCTCAGAAGACTTAATTTTAAAATGGGAAATTGAAATATAAGCGGCAAATTTAAGCAAAAAATTTAAATTTAAGTGGGAAATTCAAAATTTTAAGTTAAAATTGAAATTTCAAATTTCTTGAAAGTTAAAAAGTATATCTTATGATCTAAGAACACACATTAAACCATGTTACTTGATTTCTTGAAGTCACTTAACACTTTTGAAAATTAAATAAACATATCTTAAAGTTACTTAACAAATTTACAAAAAACTAACGTAGAAAACTTCCATGGAAATCTTGTGGAACATTAATACACATGATTGTTGGTAAACTCATAACTAAAACCAAATATGTTATGAATTTCATTCATGAGCTTAAATATCGACTAATATATATGAATAAACATGAAAATGTTAAAAAGTCCTTATAGTCTTAGAGAAAATGAAAGTTTATTAAACATTGACGCAGACAACATACATGGAGGTCGTCTAGTAGACTTCTAGAAAGTCGTCCATTTAGGTTAGTTTTGCAATTGACTTTTAACCTAGACGACTTACATGAAAATCGTCCATCTCTGTTTGTTAAAAAAAAACTCGTGAGAACTTCCATGTAAGTCATCTAGGGTAAATGATAGACCATGATTTTGACCCGCTTTTGGTCATATTTTCTATATGTTTTTATTATAATTATCTATGTTTTGGAGTCTATTAGGTATGTTTTCAGGTTCATGAGCATTTTGTGGTAAAGTGATGATTTAGGTGCCTTTTGGTGCTTAAAGAAGAGTTTTCCAAGATGACTATGAAGATCCGACATAAAGAGACACATATCGATCGATACACACCCTGTGTAATCGATCGATGACACTTCCGTAGAAGTTGAAGTCGAGATACTCCATAGATCGATGTACGCAATGTACCATCGATCGATACAGAGCGTGATGAGCAAGATTTATTTGGCCAACTTGAAGCCCAAGTTCTCACCAAATTACAAGACTGCCTCTGACGAGTTTTTAACCTAATTGTACTCTCTATTTATAGCTATGCCTATGAGCCTAAAAAGATATGAAGTTTTGAACCAAGTTTTGTATTCTATTCTATTTAGCAATAAAAGCATTTTCTTTTCTTCTTATTCTTTTGCTATGAATCTCTTGGCTATGTCTGAGTAGATTCATATGTTAGATTTGGTGTTCAAATAGTTATGAGGGATTAGCCCCAACTATGGATTGTTGAGTTGTTATATTCATTATCCAAATGAACCCTAATGCTTACGCTAGACTTGCTACCTAGAGTATTGATTATGGAGTCACTAATCTAATAGTCATCTTCCTAAAATCAGTTGGCTAAACCCAGACTCTATTAAGGCACGATGCGACAGCCGGTCTGATAGAAATTCTCGGGTGAAAAAAGTTCGATCCGATCTGATACTTAATATCCATCGATACTCCTCTATGGTTATCG